AGACCAAAGCAACTTTGAGGCCTGGAGCCCATGCCGCCCACGTTTTGGAGTCATCACACTTCTCCTTCATGGTCATCTGGCCACGATCTTGAGCTGGTTCTTCTGGATTGGTGCCGCTTGGAGGGCCACGAATTCCGTCCAGGATGTTGATGTCCCGGAGCACCACTGCCAATGTTGTTGGCTTCCTTTTTGTGTGACCCATTGGGCCTTGGTCGAAGTGGAGCCTCTTGACTTGGTAGGTCTCCTCAAAGTTCCGCCATTCTTTGGTGCGCCAGATCGACATGAACTGCTTATCACGCACCTCCTCGGCTGGCCTGTAACGGGCCGGATCCTCAGGCTGTTCCACAGCCAATGCAGTTTGCAACTCTTGAGGAAGACGAACGTTCTCACAAAGAACATAGAGGGCCAGCATCCTATACAGCAAAACGCTGTCACCAATCACCAACTCCAAATCCGAAGCCGTCAAGGTCGGCAAGCCGTAGGGATGCTGCTCCGTCCTCAAAACACCAGGTCCATCATCATCTTGATACCTCAAGGCTGAGACCGTGCGGCATGGAGGTCCGCCAATGATGGCCTTCACACGGCCGGAGGCTGCCAAGGAGAGGAGGTACAGGTAGGTCTGATCATCATGAAGATCTGCCGAAACCTCACTCTTCAAATCCACACACAAGACCTCGATCCCGTCCTTGTTCAAGGTCTTTTCCCAGTACTTGCTATCGGGACCGGAGAACAAGTGAAGTACGATCTTCTTTGCCCGATCCAACCGGCGGCGTGTCCGCCTATTCCAGGGCACACGATGGCCATCAAAGCTCTGGCCTTCTTGAAGCTGCGACATGTCGGGGACGATGCGCATCAAGATCTCCTCCGGCAAAGAGGGGAACAATGCCTTCAACTGAACCGTCAAAGCCATCTCCAAGGAGTCCGGCATTTCCGCCAGTGCACCACTGTGGGGGTTTTCCATCAAAGTCTTGACCAGCAGCGCCTTCTTGAGGAAGTTGGCCTGTCGACGTTCCAGCTGATCGATCATCTCTTGACCACACTTTCGGTCCACCATCGGGCAGCCATGCTGAATCACCACCTCGAGCTGTTGGCCCTTGTTGTCACGAAGGCTGCATTGCGATCCCTTCCAATCGAATTTGTAGCCGAGCTCCGCAATGCCTCCAAGGGGGACAATCCATGAGCTTCCAAAGGCGTCATCATCCGGAGCCGAGAGCAGGACCTTGGTGCCAGCCTTCAACTTCAACTTGTCCGTGACACCATCGGCCAAAGTCACCTGAGTTGGCATAGCTTGTGCCCATTCAACTTGATCTCGAGCAGGCCGCAAAGCATGCGTAGCGCCCGAGTCCAACAGGACCAGCTGACCGCTGGGATCGTGCTCAAGCTGGCTGATCTTGATGACCTGTAGTTGAGGTGCCCTCAAAGATTTCAGCAGCTTCGTTGCTTCCTGCAACAATGTTTCACTTGTAGTTGAGGTAGCTCCTGTCTCACCACCTCCGCCACCTCCGCCCTTCGACACACCCTCCGCCGGCTGCGCCTCTGGGTTCGGACTTTGTTGATGTCCTTCAGAGCTCAACTCCATCTCCTGCAACTTGACCACCGAAGGCTGTGCGCTCCCCCCACCACCAGCACCATTTGAAGACTTGCCAGCACCACCAGGCTTTCCTCCCCCTGAGCCCTGTGAAGGCTCACCCGTGCCTTTGCTAGGTGAGGTGAATTGCGTCTTGCCTTGGGACTTCAACTTGCAGTCAGATTTTCTGTGGTCTTTTCCACCGCAGATCCAACACCTGGAGGCCTTGTCGTCGACCCCCTCCCACGAGTGTGACCACTTGCAATTCTTTCCAGCCTTGCAGCCACTGTCGGACCTGAAGTACTTGCAGGGCGTAATTGACATGGCCCCACCCTTGCCTCTGCTGTCATCGGCAACCCGTGTGGCTGTAGCTGACTTGTCCTGTGCCTCCATCTGCTTCACCTTGATGGGCGATGAAGTGGTCGTAGGGGCTGTGCTCATCAACACCAACGTCTCGACCTCCGCCAAGAGGCATTGACTGAAGCGCCAACCCCATCATGATGCGGAACTTGATCCACACCAAGCTGCAACCTGCTCTGGGCCAGACGAAAGGCTGCTTGGGCATCCAAGTTGGAGATCTTGATCACTGCCGCCTCCAGCGCCTTCAACAACAAAGTGCCATCTGGCAAAACGGCGCCGATCTCTCGAGCCCTTGCAAAGTGCCTCCGCCATGACCTCAGCGAAGCAGCCCATTCTGTAACCGTAGTGGCCTTGTCCAAACTTGTCAACTTGGCCAGCAAAATCGACTTCTCACCTGCACCGCCAGGTTGAAACCTCACCAGAAGCCGATACAGGAGTGCCGTGGATGTCAATTCACGATCCGTGATCAAGGCCTGCTGCTGGTCCACAGGGATGGCCTTGAGGAGAAGGTTCACACCTCTCTGTTCCGTCCGGTGGTACCGAACATCATTCAACTCATCAGGAAGGCGAGGCATGATCTGGATCCGCTCGAGTGGAGATGCGGTCTTCCATCGATCATAGCAGCATTGCGCCTCCCTCAACGTCAAATTCCACCACCGTGCTGACACCGCGGTGATGTCTCGAAGCACCGGCCCGCAAACCGCGAGCCAATCACCAAGCTCCAAGGGCGAAGCATCCGCCTCTAACGTTGCAAGCTCAGCCTTGCTTCTACCTCCTTCAGTCCATGGCAAAGGGGCCGGAGATGAAGGAACATCCCCTCGCCAGCGACCGTAGTTGTGCTCTCCGGCCGCATCAAAGCTTGAACCATGGTCCATGGAGCCACGATCGGGATGACATTCGATGCCACGTCCACAATCACCACCTGGCCACCCTCCGGGACCACAAGCAAACTCTCGGAGACCAGGACCTCGCAGGCCAACAGTGCCTCCATAACCAGCATGCGCAGCTCCATCATCAAACCGTGGCGGAGCCGAAGGTGCTTCTTGCGAGCTTGAAGGCCCCAAAAACGAAGCTCCTTGCCGCATGCACCCCATCTTCTCTCTCAGCTCAGCCACTTCTTGCTCAAGTCGCGAAGCCCGCAACTCATGAGCGTCGAGTGGCATCATCACCCTCCCTTCTCTCAAGCTGAGGGGCAACCATTGTTGATCACCATGACGGCGTCGATGAGCATCTAAAAGCTCATAGCCCTGCAGGTCACTAATTTCAGCCGAGGTGCAAGATGTTGGGAACGGTGGCATAGGCACTTCCATGCTAGTCGCTGCTCTCGGTGGGGAACCAGGAGGAATCTGCGTTCCATTTGGGGTGAACCGAACATCACCTTGCTCTTGATGGCCACGTCGTGACTGGCTTCGACCCCATGGAGTGTGTGGTGGTTTCACTCCTACTCCAGTGCTGGTTCCAGGAAGATCACCGCCACATACCTTAACATGTTGACCAGGTACATGACCTTCAGCATGACCCACATGGGTTCCCTTCTTTTCCAAACCCACCTGCTCCCACGAAGACGGCGTGGAGGACACACCATCCGAGGCCCGCAGACGGCGAAGCTCAGCAATCTCCGCCATCAACACTGCGTTTTGCTCCTTGAGGAAGGTGACCATCTCAGCTTCGAGGGCTCTTTGTAGGCCATCATGGTTCTCTTTTGCTTTTCTCTCCCCCTGATCCTTCGAAACCTCAGACCCGGGGTTCTCAGGTGTTGGAGGCATGGGCCCCATGGTACGAGCAGGTTGTCGACCCTTGGCTTCACGAACCATCTCCGGCATAGCGCCGTGAGTCCGCTTCCCACCACCCCGACCACGATCTTCTTCCTCCTCCCTGCGGCTTGGGGGTGTGACAAACAGTCCATTGCCTCCACCTTCAAGGGCCGAAACACCTCGTCCCTTCCCACAGCCACCGACGCGGTCACCTTGCGTCTCCAGCAGGTCGGAGTCATCTCCATCGTGAGGCACGGGGAGGTCCTCAGGTCGTGCATACCTCAGGAGCGGCTCCCGCTTGCAGCGTTCCGACCACCATGGGTTCAAAGGTGGCATGGAGTGGGACCGCTCAACCATGGCGTGTCACTTGGGCTCATAACCCTCGTGAACAAAGACAACGCGCCCTTTCTTCGAACACAAATGCCTGAAGTCGTGTTGACATGTTCGATGTTCTCACCGAACAGATGGGAATTTTGGAATTGGTTTCTTTTGGATACCAGCTCAACCAAAAGTACTAGAATTGTTATACCGTCTTCAAAAATGTACATTTTTTAAGAATACATAGTCCAAAAAAAAAATTGTTGTATTTTTTATTAAAACCTGTACTTTTACGCAATTTCTGTTCTAATCGAATTTCTCCGGGTTGATGTTATTATATTATATCATGCATGCATGCCATGAGACTTCTTTTCACTCCTCTCCACGAAGGTGCTTCTTCAGACTAGTGAAATAGACATCCAGAGTTCTTTCAATGGTCGCCTTTGGCGAGACACGCCTCGAGTAGCGTGATACAACTCCGACAAACGCCTCATCTTGCTGGCAACTATCTACCAAAGGGTTTTCTTGCCACTGCACTTTGGCTGCCCAACACTTCATCAGGTGGAAGGTGTGGAACAGCATGTGATGCTTGCTGTGGATGGGAAACCGAGGTTCTTTCGCAGCAAGGCAGATCTGTGCAAGCTTGACATATGCACGCAAGAAGGTGAGGCCAAGCGAGGAAATCTCAGCAGCTTCCAATCTGTGAAGCCAGGCACCACCATAGTAAAGAAGCCGCAAAGCACGGTTCATGCTGGGTGTTGCCAAGAAGATCAGCTTAAATCTTTCATTTGCAATAACAGCCTCATGCACAGCATCACTGGCTAGGAACTCCTCTAACCACTCCATCAGCGCCGTGGTTGTAGCTGCTTTTTGCCAGCCTCCCTCTGGCCAGTCCAGGGACGACTAAAAGTTCATTGTGTCACGAGCTATCTTTGTCAAGTATGGTCCTTGGGCTAAAACATTGCCATAGATGGCATTCACCAGGGTCACCCAAAAAGAATTCAACAAATCACAAAATATTGCAATCTGATAGCTAGAAGTCTGATCTTCTTCCTTGAGCAGTACTCCCGCCAACTTGCAGTCATACGTTGAAAGCGAACTTCAACCCCACCATCACCAAACAGAGGCAACAGTACCACAAAGGCTGAAGACAACCAGTAGCGGCCCTGTCCAAGATGGAAATTATGCCATAGGTCTGGCCTGAACATGTACGGGTGAAAGCTGGGAGAGGCCGGAAGTAGGTCAACCCAGGGCGCTAGTGTATTCCACGGGCAAAGCGACGCAGCCGATCCCATTGTTGCAAGGAATTTCGCAGCATCACCCACCTCGTGCATAGGATATCCATCACACCCAGCTAGGCAGAGATGGCATATACCTTCACCAACCATAGCTGACTCTCCTTTCTTTGGAGCTCTTCTGAAGTGTCTTGTCAGTGCACCAGCTTCTATCAACCATGGCCAATCACCTTTGATTGACACAACTGCCACTCTGAGAGGCAAGTTGGAATCTTCTAAAGGAATTCCTTTCCTCATGAAGGCAAGAAGATCCTCAGCAATGAGTGTCATTGCTTTCTGGAGAACTCCTGGATTGTCCCAGTAAGTCTCTTTGAGAGCAGCAAAGGACAGAAAACGCGTTGTCTCCTTGAATGCATGGCTTATGCTGTGCAATAATGAATTTGTGAAGTTTCAATCAGTGTCGACACTATTAAAGGGGAACAGTGACAACATGCAAATTATATCACGAAATTGTCCAGGTATCACAGTGGCCCAGAAAATTCATGTTCATGGCCTCCTTCTGCACAGCAGCTGGCAAAGTAATGGATCTGCTGGTCCCAGATCCCAAAACGGGCTGCCAGCTCATCAGCATAATGGGTGACTTTTTCTTACCTGGGCATTTGCAATATACATTGCAAGCATGTGTCGATCTAACACAAAGACCCTCTTATTGAAAGGGGACACGTTAGATCGAGATATTCTTCAAGATACTTCTGCCCTCGTCGCCGTGAATTTTGATTGGCACCGTCAGCTGCAGTTCTTGGGGCGTCAGCTCCTGGAAGATCCCATGATCATCATACTGATTTTTGAACCGCCGCCAATACTCCTGTAGAATTAGCCTGCTGGTTTGCAAGTCAGCAGCCGGCAGCAAAAGATCCAGCCTTTTTTCGCGCTGCAGGCAAAAGGCAAAATCCTGAGGCCGGATCCATGGATAATCATCGCGTTGACCAATGCTATCCCTGCTCACTCGCATAGGAGCGCGAAGATTAACAGAGTCAAAGGCTGCAAACGCTTGCCTTGCCTCAGATGGTCTCTAAAGTATACAGCAACTGTGCACTCAAAGGCCACCAAAACACATGCACACCAAATGCATGATAGATACCGCATGTGTTGGACCGCCCTTGGCTATCCGCTTCAATACTTTATCGTTCCTTTGAATGCCCAGCGCAGCATCGTCTGCTAGGATGGCCTTGGCAGTTTCCACCAGCTGCACTGCAGGTACCTCAAGTATAGGGTCAAGTATATCATATGGCTTTCAGGCACTGGTCATTACATATATATCATGTCGATATCATTCATGTCATGTTACCA